CTATTCTGGGGTCTAGCGGATGGTGGCCCTCTTTTCACAGTTCCATTATGCAGTGCTCCAATGGGGAGTCTGTGTTGGGGCTCCATCCCCACATTTCCCTTCTGCACTGCCCTAGCCAAGGTTCTCCTTGAGGGCTCCACCTCTGCAACAAACTTCTCTAGGGACATCCAGGCATTTCCATACATCCTCTGAAATCTAGGCAGAGGTTCTCAAACTTCAGTTCTTGGCTTCTGTGCACCCGCATACTCAGCACCATGTGGAAGCTGCCAAGGCTTGGGGGTTGCACCTTCTGAAGCCATGGTGCAAGCTGTACCTTAGCCCCTTTTAACCATGGCTGGGATGCAGGGCATCAAATCCTGAGACTGCATAAAGCAGCAAGGCCCTAGGCCTGGTCCCTGAAACCATTTTTTTCTCCTGGGCCTCTGGGCCTGTGACAGGAGGGCCTTCTGTGAAGACCTCTGAAATCCCCTGGAGTCATTGCTTTGATTAACATTTCACTCCTTGTTACTTATGCAAATTTCTTCAGCTGGCTTGAATTTTTTCCTCAGACCATAGGTTTTTCTTTTCTATCATATCATCAGGCTGCAAATTTGCCAAACTTTTACTCTCTAATTCCTCTTGAGTGCTTTGCCACTTAGAATTTTTTTCAGCCTAATACCCTAAATTATCTCTGTCAGGTTCAAAGTTTCACAGATCCCTAGGACAGGGGCAAAAAGCCACCAGTCTCTTTTGTAAAGCACAGCAAAAGTCATCTTTGCTCCATTTTCCAACAAGTTCCTCAACTCCATCAGAGATCCCCTCAGCCTGGACTTCACTGGTCATATGACTATCGTATTTTGTTCAAAGCCTTTCAACAAGTCTCTGGGAAGTTCTAAACATTCCCACATATTTTTGTCTTCTGAGCCCTCCACATCTTGAAGAAGTTTCAAACATTCTCACCATTTCCCTGTCTTCTTTTGAGCCTTCCAAACTGTTCCAAACTCTGCCTGTTATCTAGTTCCAAAATCATTTCTACATTTTTGGGTATCCTTATAGCACCCCACTCCTGTTACCAATTTACTGTATTAGTCAGTTCTCACAGTGCTATAAAGAACTGCCTGAGACTGAGTAATTTGTAATGAAAGAGGTTTAATTGACTCACAGTTCTACATGGCTGGGGAGGACTCATGTAACTTATAATCGTAGCAGAAGGGGAAGCAAACATGTCCTTCTTCATATGGGCAAGGGAAGGAGAAGCGCTGAGCAAAGAGGGAAAAGCCCCTTTAAAACCATCAGCTCTTGTGAGAACTCACTCATTTTCTTGTGAGTCTCTTCCATGGCACATAGAGATTATGAAAACTACAATTCAAGATGAGATTTGGGTGGGGACACAGTCAAACCATATCATCTAGGCTGGTATCAAAATCCTGGGCTCAAGTAATCCACCCACCTTGGCCTACCAAAGAGGTGGGATTACAGGCATGAACCACCGTATCCAGCTGGTCTTTTGATTTCTTTTGATTTTAATCATCCATTGGTTCTGCTTCTCTAGAGAACCCTGACTAATAGATAATTGGCATGAAGTGATATCTCATTGTTGTTTCGATATGTCATTTGTGTTTATATTTCTTTGATGGATGACTTAGGGTTCTTTTTGTACTTTTGGGCTATTACCATTATTACTAGTGTTTATACTTCTTCAGTAAAAATATTAGAAACAATTTTTAAAGACAGAATGTAACCAGTTTCCTATAGGTACATAACCATCATGGACCTTCCCTCAAGTGTTTAGCCATTGGTGTTACTCATGTCACTCCAAATGTCAGCTCGTTTTCTTCCTTTTTACTATCTCTTTGTATCCCAAATCTGAATTCATGGGAAAAAAATCTGAATGGTGCTTGATATGGTTTGGATATTTGTCCCCTCCAAATCTCATGTTGAAATGTGACCTCTGGTGTTGGAATTATGGACTAACTGGGGTTGTTTGGGTCACAGGAGTGGATCCTTCTTTAATGGCTTTGTGATAAGTGAACTCTATTAGTTCATGAGAGCTGGTTGTTTATAAGAGCCTGGCACTTCATTTTACTTGTCCTTCTCTCACTGTCTGACACGCTTGCTCCCCCTTTGCCATTAGCCATGAGTAAAAGCTTCCTGATGGTCTCATCCAGAAACTAAGCAGATGTTGGTGCCATGCTGTAGAACTGTGAGCCGAATAAGCCTCATAAATTACCCAGTCTTGGGTGTTTATTTAAAACAACACTAAACGGTGACACGGTGCTGATTGAAACAGCTGTGACGGGTCATCAGGGCATAAGAGAGGAGTCACTGGGTTGAAATAAAGCCTCCTACTTACACCTGTTTCAAGTAGAAGCTATAGATAGGAAGTTGCTGAAGCAGGCATTCCCTCTGAAACATGTGTTTCACATATATCATAATTATCTTCTGCTCTCAAGTAAAAATTCATTTTTCTTTTAGACTTTCATCTCCATCTCATTTCCCCTGTTTCCTCTCATTTTATTATCTCTAAGTTTCTTTCTCCACAATTAATGAGAACATTGGCACACTTCACTCCAGTTATTCTTTGTCTATGCAACTTGTTTCTCTGCTGCATGGCTCTTATGGTTTGTAATTACTGGCTCATTTGTATAGCTCAGTGGTTAGGAGTACAGTTTAGAGTTAGAATGCCTGGGTTGAAACACTTAATTCTACTCTACTTACTAGCCTTGTGACCTGTAACAAAATTCTTAGACTCTCTTTGTCTGTAAAATGAGAGTATAGTAAATACATGGGCTTGTTTTAAGGATTAAATGAGTTAACACGTGAAATACTTAGAACAATGCCTGGCAAATGCTCAGTGAATATTGGCTATTGCTTGCTTTTTTTAGTGCCTGTTCTTCCCACTGAGGGTGCAGAGCATATGTATCTGGCTAACAGTTCTATGTCCACCACATTGCAATAATGGACTCTCAGAAAATATTGAAGAATCTGTTAAAGAATGAATAGAATTATCCTAGTGAAAAGGGTGGGTGGGAGGTAGTTAGGGAAAGGTACAGATAGCACTGGAAGCAGCACGTATAGGGAATGGGTCAAACAGTGTTTCTTGGTACTCTCTAGACCAGGCGTCCCCAAACTATGGCCCACAGGCCACATGTGGCCTCCTGAGGCCATTTATCCAGCCCCCTGCTGCACTTCAGGAAGGGGCACCTCTTTCATTGGTGGTCAGTGAGAGGAGCATAGTATGTGGCGGCCCTCCAATGGTCTGAGGGACAGTGAACTGGCCCCCTGTGTAAAAAGTTTGGGGATGCCTGCTCTAGACTATGGTGGGCCACCTCTTAGCTAGTGGTCTATAGATTATTTAAGGAATCTGTTGGAAACAGCCATGGATATAATAATAATGGACCCGTTTGTGGGTTCTAAGAAAAAGGACAACTACAGTACTAGAAAATGATTATATGTAAGTCAAGAGGGGAGATGATTATTTGTTTTAAACTGTTCTAAAATTCTTATTTAGGATAGTGGGGGGCAAACATTAACTTTAGATTTTGTTATGTATATGGTAAAATTTCAAGGTAAATCACTGAAACTATAGTAGTTGAGTATATAACTTCCAAACCATGGAGGAAATAAATGGAATAAGAAAATAAATACATAAACATAAGATTCAAACAATCCAATTAAGAGGAGAGGGAAAAACATAGAAAGAATGAGATAATTAGAGAGCAATAGGTAATGTGTGAGAAATAAATTCAAGTACAGTAAAGCTCCACTAAAATGTACCCTGCAGTAATGTTGGGACATGATTTTCTTTCATCTCCATTCTCAAATGGAGTGGGCTAAATAACATTTTTATCCAGTTTCCCTGGGGGTTTGAGGTGGGTGGAGAGTAATTTAGAAGACAGTCACCTTCTGATAGGTTTAGACTTTCTCAGTTTAGTCCTCAATTAATAAAAATTAATGTAAACTTTGTCAGAAGACAGAGATTGTCCGATGAAAGGACAAGCAAAATAAAGTCTTACTAACCAAAAAACAAATCTGGGGTAGCTATGTTAATATCAGCTATAGGGTAGCTATGGTAATATCAACTATGTTAATATTAATTATTATTAATAATCTATTAATAATGGATTATATAGTAAAATTGTTACTAAAAATAGAGTGTCATCACATTTTAAAATTTACTATGAAGACATAAGATTTTTAAGCTGGTTGATAAAATTCTGGGAAACACAAATTATGGAATAGAATTTGTAGGATGCACCAAAGCATTTTTTTAGAGATATCCGTTAATTCAACAAATAAACGAGCACCTTCTTTGTGCCAGTCACTGGAAGAGGTGGCCTAAAGAAGAGAATAAAACAGTCAAAATCCTGGCACATTCAGAGTTTCTCTTAGGAGAAAACAGATACAAATGATATTATTACCAAGAAACTTGGGAAACAAACCAAATATTAATGATAAATATTTAAGACTACAATATGTTAATTTTAAGATTGAAAATGAGATACAAGGATTTCTTAAAACTCAAAGGCCAGTTACTGAGAGTTAGATTTTTTACAATCACTGTTAATTTTTCTAACTTGTAGGAAATTGAAAGCATGTTTAGAATATATTTCAAGACTATATTCAAATGTTGCAACAGAACATTAATAATTATCTTCTTGATCCACTAAGTTCAGGAAAAAAAAATGGGTAATGAATCCATTCATTACCACCTTTCAATATTTTATCTTTCAGTTTTTGTGTTTTGTTGCTCATTGACAGAGTTTGACAGAGGGCCGAGAGTAGCCTTTAGTGAGCTGGCTGTAATTTTGGGGGTCCATTTTTATGTAAATAATTAAAACTCTCTGACAGGACCATAAAATGCTTGCTGCCATTTCCAATAACCTATACTTGTAAATGGGGTTTTTAATTTAATAAGAATATTAAGTTAGAAAAGGAACTGTCATTCTGTGAAGTGGCCAATAATGTTAGTTTTATTTATCAATTTAGTTTCATTCTTTTTCATTTTCAAACATTTTCAGCATTGATGCAGATGGAACAATGACAGTGGACTGGAATGAATGGAGAGACTACTTCTTATTTAATCCCTTTACAGACATTGAGGAAATTATCCGTTTCTGGAAACATTCCACAGTAAGTATACTTCATGTATATTTATGCTTATTTGGAGCTATAAACCATAGATACAGTTGTCACCCAATAACACTCTGTAACACTTATGAGCCAGGATACCTGAGTCCCAGTAGCTCGTTAACCTGTAGAGTTCTATTTATCCTGTTAGGCATAGATTTATAGAGTATTAAAACAACAACAACGACAACAACAACCAGCCAAGACTGCGTAAGTGTTCATCCTGAAAACTTGGGAGAAGTACCACCTTGATGAATAAGCTCTCTAGCTTTTATTGGCGTTTAAGTTTCTGCCATAGGGAAGTGTAAAAGTTGTAGGCTTTTGCTTTTTATAGATACTGTATTACCCAAATAATCTCAGCACCTCATGGTTGCTAAGAATCTGTTTCCTTTGTTCAGATCGCCTAGGTTTATCTCTGGCATACGGAATTTAAAATAATCAATAAATGTTACAGAATCTTTTTGCTTCATCTGCTTAGCTTAGATGGCATTTCATATCAGTTTGTTTTTTACAAAACTTTCAAATTTTGATTGTCTCATTAATATTCTGCATACCGATGTAAACCAAGTTTTATTATTGTGCAATCTACTTCTGAAACCATTGGGAGCTCTCTGAAGGAGGTTTATCTTTTTTCCCCTTAATAGGCTTATCTTCAACACTTATTCACGGATTTTGCTAAATTAAATATGCATTAAATGAAGCAGTTCACATTGCCACTAGTAACAATACCTAAGCTTACATAAAGCATTAGAAAATTGTTGGTGATTAGTGTCGTCTCAGCTATGAGTATAGAATAATACTATACTAGTAGTTCAGTTGCCACTATAAATTTTACACTATGTGAAGTTTTATTTACATGATTCTTACTGTATTTTTTAAGGTAGTTGATAACAGTTGAGGCTACAGTCGTACCTCCATTTTACTGATAGTAAAATGAAGGAAGAGATGGTTACTACATAGGATAGCTCCTTCCCCTTGCACTTTTGCCTGTAAAATGTTTTATGCCAAAACAATTTAGATAATAGAGTTGTAAAAATATTATTATAGAGTTATTTCTCTCAAGCTGTAGTACTGTAGAATAGATTGAAAGGGTGATGATTTCAAACAATACCTCTCCATTAGCTAAATTTTATATAGAATCTATTGCATGTTTTAAATGGCAAGTCAGATGTATAAAAATATTTTTGTAAACAATAGGTCATGAGCTTAGGGTTGTTCACATACACAGTTTTAATTTTTATTTATATATTTAAAACATATCGTGGTATAAAGTATAATATAAATATAAATTTGAGATAAAGGAAGTATCATTTGAGAATTGATTAAATTTATTAAAAGATGCCATCACCAATTGGATATGGTTTTCTAGCCTTATGAAAAGTGGTTACAGTAAAAAAGATTGACTATACCTGACGAAACACTGCCCTTTCATTCTGACCTAGACCAAGAGAAGCAAAGTTACCATGAATCCATGAAGAAAGGAAGTTGTAATTGTTGGTTCTGTATATTTGTAATTTCTGTTTATTTCCATTTCTTGTGAACTGACACTATACTTCGTTCATTGTGAATAGACTACTTATAATCTGTGTGCTCAAATTGGTTTAGTATAAATCCTAGGGAGAAAAGTTCCTATTAACTGCAAAATAACATATGATTCTTCTCTAGAACAAAAATGTCTTCTGGCATTATATATTTTTAACTAAGAAGCATGGGGATCTTTTTTTTTTTATTTTAACAGGGAATTGACATAGGGGATAGCTTAACTATTCCAGATGAATTCACAGAAAATGAAAAAAAAATCCGGACAGTGGTGGCCGGCAGCTTTTGGCAGGAGGCATTGCTGGTGCTGTCTCTTGAACAAGCACTGCTCCTTTGGACCATCTGAAAATCATAATGCAGGTGAGCTTTATTATCGTGTGTCCAGGTTTGCCCTAGATAGTCTGAAACAATGAGAAATGTAGTGCTTTGAAAAATAAGTTTTAAAATTTCTCAGTAATAATCTTTTATACCCTAAAATGTATATCTGTTTTGTTAGTGTTAACACTAAATTCAGTCCTTGAAAGTATGGCATTGTACCAAAGTTTAAATTGTTAATACATGTGTGTAATGAGTTTTTAATCTTTGAGATTCTCTGACTATTCAAACATTTAATTTTAGAAACATCCCTAACCATTATTGTAGGATTCTCCTTATTTATAGTTCCCTCCTTTCTTATATACTTTACCAAAAGTAAAATATCTCTGAAATCTAGAATCGTAGAGCAGCAATGTAATTTTAAAAATTATTCTAAAGCTGAGGTTAGCAGAAAAAGATCTGGCTTTGTAGACTGACTTTGTTATTTACTAGCAATGTAGCCTTAGACTGACCAGAGTGGAAAGAGGGAAAGGAAGATAATTAACATGTATTTGCTCATTGTGGTAACCCAGCTAATCTTGCAGCAGCCCAGTGAAGCAGGTATTTTATCATTTTTCCAGGGGGAACCTGAGTCCCAGAGAATTAACTTTTCCTTTACAGCAAATGAGAGGAGGAATGGAGTATCTTTGCCTCCAATGCTCCTGGTTTTCATGCTGCTTGAAACCTCTGAGGTCTCATTTTCCTTCATTCTGGAATGGGGATAAGAATATCTAACAAGAATTGTCGTAAGAATCAAACAATATAAGGTATGTGAAAATGCCTGGCACACTGAAATATCCTTTGGAGCATAGTAGTTGTTTACAAAATAGTTTTAAAAGTTTGTTATACCTTTGGTCAGCACTTTCAATATTTGTCCACAGATTTCTGTACAAAAAAATGTCTGGCAGTATTTTAAGCTAGCATTCCTTCAGAATGTCCCCAAATCACAAAATGTATTTAGGGGAAAAGCTAATACTTTAAAGAAAAATGAGAGAATTGGTGTGTGTTTTTCTTTAGGAATAGTAGTAACTTGACTTTTAGAGAACTTAAATAAGTGTTCGTTTTTTTCTTTGTCCTATTTTATTGTGAAGTTCGTTTATTTAAAATAAAATGGATTTCTCTGGAATTTAGTTTCTGCAAATTTAAAAAGTTTCTGAAGTCAACTTTCAGGTTCGATACTTCTCTAGGACTCCCAGAACTCACTGAAAGCTTATTACCCCTGGTTATGGTTCATTACAGGGAAAATATATGGATGAAAATCAGTCAAGTAAAGCAGCTCATAGAGCGGAGCTTCTGGTGTTCTCTCCCTGTGAAGTCCCTATGTCTTACTTTCCTGGCACTATTGTGTGGCACTAGGCACAGAGTGTTGCAGACCAACAAGGGAAGCTCACCTGAAACTTTGGTGCTCAGCATTCTTAGTGGGGTCCATTTTCATACTGGCCACATGGCTGGCCTTCAGGAATCAACCCCGTCTGTGAGTGCCTGTGTATGTGTGCGTGTGCGTGTGCGTGTGCGTGTGCGTGTGTGTGTGTGTGTGTGTGTGTTGAGTGGTAGTCACTCCTTTTATGTTAGCTGAAACAATCAGAGGAATAGCTGATTTATTTGATTATTTTGGGTGTATTAGATTTAATCAGTTTTTATCTGTAGATGGTCATAAGGTACAGTATTTTAAAATGACTACCACATCTGTAGTATAAGTCAAGTATTGTATCAGTACTCACATGGTTGGTACATGTTGTAATGAATTTATTGCCTAGAGATGCCTCAAAATATGCCAAAGAAGGTGGAATTTTTATTTTTGATTTCAGGCTGTATGTATTCCAATGTTTTTAGCCCTGACATGCATAATATCCAAACTATTTCAGACTCATTTACAGTTCATGTCTGTACTATTTCTTCTTAATATGTTATTCCTTCTCCTCAATAATATAAACAGTATTACCTGCAGTATATATAATATAATGTAATAATATATTATTACCTGCAGTATACATTTTATTTCTCTTTAACTGGGCTTGTTCATATTTCAAAGGTGTTCCATTGTCTGATATGTAATAGACAATGATACATATCAAATATACAATTTAGTTAATGTTATCTTATGAATGTTGTTCATAATTTTAATTTTCTTCTTGTCTTCTCTGCTTTCTCACACTGAAGATACCAATTATTCTTAGTTTTAGAGTGAGACAGATGTCTGAAATCATGACAATACTCCCTCCCATCATTATATATATATATTTTCAACCTTTCTATATTTTAATTTCAAATATACTTGCAGTTAGTATTGAAAAAGATTGTGTGGTTACTTTAGAAAAACTAATAATAATATGCCACCAGTATTTTATATGATTCTGCTTTTATTTTTTAGGTTCATAGTTCAAAATCAGACAAAATGAACATATTTGGTGGCTTTTGACAGATGGTAAAAGAAGGAGGTATCTGCTCTCTTTGGAGAGGAAATGGTACAAACGTCATCAAAATAGCTCCTGAGACAGCTGTTAAGTTCTGGGCATATGAACATGTAATTGCTATCGCCTATGGAATTTATTAACAAAGAGGAGTAAGTAAATGGATTCAATAAATGTTAATGTATAATGATTTTGGGATTCTTGTTTTAATATGTGATTATCTCTCATGTATACTCTATAAGGAATATCACTTATAGGAGATTAGACTAAATAAAATCAGAGATTTCTCATGACCAAGTTACGGGATTTTTAATTCATCATATTATTTATAAAGAAAGTCTTTCTCTCTCTCTCTCTCTCTCTAAGTAGTTCTTAAAGGAAGGGTAACAGTTTATTCATTCTGAATTCTGAGCAGAAGCAGCACACTAACTAAATTTTATGCAAGTTTCTCAATCTGACCTCTGGAAGGAAAACTTATAAGTTGAAGTCCTTTGTGTAATTTGACATTGCTGGAAATTTGAGCTGAGTTTAGAGTGACAGCTCCATGAAGGCAAGGGCATGGCTTCTTCCCCATGTACTCCAGCACCTAGACAGAGCTTGGGATGTAGTAAGTGCCAAGTGAGTGCTGAATGAGTGAATAAGTGAATAAATGCATTTACCTTTGAATCACTTCTCTGCTGACTCTTGTTAACTTGGATGATTTGAGCTATTGCTTCAGCCTAACTCATGTAAAGAGGAAGTACAGAAGTAAGTTTTAGAGGTTGGTTTCTCTTTATGATCATTAGCAGAACTGTCTAGTTGAGCAGCAACAGATATTTTTTCCATTATTTATTCCATAGTTATTTATCGAAGACTGTAAGGGCTTTGAAATTCAACACCCCCCCCCACACACACACACAGTTTTTGTATTATTCCCTGTTAATTTTAGATTATTCTGGAGAGTGTTTGTTCTTGAGCAACACAATACTCTTGCGAAGGTTGCAGAGTATAGTGCTATCCTTTTCTTGGCCCAGGAAATAGAGAAGCAAAGAAAAAATTAAAGAAAACGTAGCCTCCAGGACTTTAATTAGAACCTATCTTTGGGAAGGTTATTTTTCTTATGTGATATTTGAAGATTCAAATAATGATTATTAAGGGCTAATGTTTAAAATACCCTTAGGTTGTTCTGACCACACACTTGGATTTTATGATAGGAAGACAAGAACCTAAAATAATCAAATACTCAAAAACAATGCAGTTATTTCAGTATGCAGGAAGTTTGGTATTTTTGAAAGTGCATGGATATTGCAAGCAAATATGCACATCTTACTCTATATAATTTGTCAGATTCTTACCTTGGATATCGCAAGCAGGCATCTGTCCACCCAAGCTCCTTCCTGAGAACTCATTATAGTATTCTCATTTCGGCACACTAGCTTTCTTACATCAAGAGAAAGCCGTCTACACAGTCTGGTGTAGTGTTCTTATGGGCTCTGGGCCTATGATAGTGTTTTCTTCCCTCCTGCTGAAAGTCCATTCATCCCTTGGGGCTCTCTAAAAGCCATCTTCCTATGAGAAGCGTATCCTAAGCATCTCAACCAAAACCAGTTCCTCCCCTGTCCAGGCTTCCTCGAGTGCTGAATTGTAGAATATCCCGTTTTCCATTGGATAATCCCAGTTTGTTCTAAATTACTTCAAAATATGCAGTATATATTCTCAAATATCCTGGAGTATGTATCTAGCTCACTTTTTGGTTCCGTTAGGTTTTGTTCACTGAATAGCTGGCACTTTAGGAAACTAAGAAAAGGATCTTTTCAGCCTGGCACATAGCTCTGTCAAACACATCATCAGTTTGGTAAAGCTGTGTTCTATGTGGGTTGTCATTACCATAGCAGTGTCATGGTATCGTTGACAGGGTAGTAGTGTGGGGTAGTGTTCTTGGGGTTTCAGCTGCCATCTCTGTACTGACTGCCTTCCACTCCAACATCTTTCTCTTTATTGCAGCACTGTAGATCCACCTGCGTAATGCGTGTGTCGGCATCTCTGCTTGCATGTCCCAGGAGTGCCTCCCACTCAACATGTCCACCGTGCACAGTCATCTTTCTGCTAGTCCCTGTCTCCTGACCCTGCTCCAGCAACACACACACACACAGACACACACACACACACAGACACACACACACACACACACACACACACACACACACACACGCACCCTTCCTCTTTCTATATGTTATATGGTAGGAATGTCCTTTAGTACCTTACTCAGGAGTTAGTTCCTCCGGAAAGCCTTCTGTTCTAATTTCCTTTTCTTACAGCACTTTCACAAGGAATTCTGACATTCTCCGTACTTATCTCCTTTGTGAGACTGTGAGCTTCCTTAGGCAGTAGCTACTTGTATTCCTAGCACCTTGCCCAGTGCCAGGAAATCCCGATTAAGTGAATTTAAAAGACAGAACTGCCAGACTGGAATTTTAACTCAAGCTTGCCTCAATCTCGAGCCATTAAGATGAAGTGGGAGCCAGGCGTGGTGGCTCACACCTCTAATCCCAGCACTTTGGGAGGTAGATCACTTGAGCCCAGGAGTTCGAGACCAGCCTGGGCAACATAGCAAAACCCCATTTCTACAAAATATATAAAAATTAGTTGGACATGGGGGTGTGTGCCTATACTAGGGAGGCTGAGGTGGGAGGATCACTTGAGCTTGAGAGGCAAAAGTTTCAGTGAGCTGAGGTCACACCATTGCACTCTAGGCTGCATGACAGAGTGAGACCCTGTCTAAAAAAAAGAAAGAAAAGAAAGGGGAAGATAAGGACTGGAGATAGAAGGAGGAGCATGTGGAAAAAAACGTAGACACAGGAAGGCATCACTCACTGAAGAGACTGAAAGTGGTTCTCTATGCCTCAGCAGTGGTGGAGTGTGTTTCAGGAAAGGTAATGATGAAAGACAAGCAGGGGCCAAATGTAATAGGAGTTTGGATTTATATGGTAGGGGCTATTGTAGCATCTTATATAGGGAAGTGAAATGAGTATATTCACATTTAAGGAATATCAACCTGAAAAAGGAATGGAGACATTGTTGGGGGGAGAGTGAGGCTAGACTAGAGGCAGGGAGAATATTTAAATAATTCAGGTAAGAAATGATGAACATCAGTGTAAGTTGATGTCTTTAAGGAATAGAGAAGGGAATGAACTGAGAAATATTTGGGGAATTGAATCAACAGAACTCACTGACTGGAGGTGAGAAAGAGAGGAGTCAAAGATGACATCTAGTTTCTTACTGGAGTGACTGTGTACATAGAGAATACAATATCAGATGAGTTTGAGATGTATGGGACACGTACCGGGAACTGTCCAGTAAGCAACTGGATATATCAGCTAGCAATTAAAAGAGAGAGATCTTTGACAGAGAGGTTGTTCCTGAGTTGAGCCATTGGAATGGGCAGGATCACTTGAAGAAGAGCTTATAAATAAGAAGAATTCTAGGAATAAGTCCAAAGGGAGAGGTGAAAGAAGAAACTTGCAAAGGAGACTGAGAAGAAATAGGTTGAGGGATGGGAGGAAATCCAGAGAGAGGGATGGCCTCGGAGTCAGTGGAAGAAAATGGTTTCATGGGGGTCAGTGCTACTGGGTAGTGAATATAATAAGAGTATCTTTTAAGATTTATCAACATGGAGATAGATAAGCTATCAACATGGAGATATATTTATGCTAAATAAATGCTTTTGTGAAGTAATGAAATGAGAAGCCATACTGAAATGAGCTTAAAGTGAATGGGAAGTGATGAAACTTGGACAGTGGAGACACATTTTTAGGGAGTTTGACTGTGAAGGGACAGAAACTAGAAGAGGGAGAGGGTGATAGATAAAAAGGATGTTGGGTGGAGGGAGGATTTGTTTTTTGGGTTTTGTTTGTTTGTTTGTTTGTTTTTGAGATGGAATCTCACTCTGTTACCCAGGCTGGAGTGCAGTGGTGCAATCTTGGCTCACTGCAATCTCTGCCTCCCAGGTTCAAGTGATTCTTCTGCCTCAGCCTCCTGAGTAGTTGGGATTACGGGCGCACACCACCACACCCGGCTAATTTTTGTATTTTTAGTAGAGCCGGGGTTTCGCCATATTAGTCAGGCTGGTCTCAAACTCCTGACTTCAAGTGGTCCACCTGCTTCACCCTCCCAAAGTGCTGGGATTACAGGAGTGAGCCACCTTGCCCAGACTGGAGGGAGGCTTTTGATTGGACTTTAATGTATCTATTGCTGAAGGAAGCATGCCAATCCAAATAAAGAAGTTGAAAACATAGGTAAGAGAGGTTGATTAACCCAGCAGGTGTTCTGAGGGAGTTTGTGTGTAGGGAAAGGGAGTGGGAGTTGGAAAGGGGCTGGGGGAGATAGGTTCTATCCAGAGACTGTTAAAAGGACTAGCAGGGGTTCTCTTCCCACCTTGTAGACAGCCAGTGTGTGCTCACATGGCCTTTTCTTGGTGCACGTGAGAGGGGGGAGAGAGAGCAAGCTCTCTGGTGTCTGCTCTTATAAGAACACTGATCCTGGCATGAGTGCTCCATCCTGATGACCTCATAACCCCAATTACCTTCACAAGCCTCATTCCCTAATACCATCATGTGGGAGGTTGGGGCTTCAACATAGGAATCTGGTGGGGATGCAGCTCAGTCCATGGCAGGTAGTGATGTGCATTTTAAAACTTACTTATACAGTACAAGAAGTTACTTACTGAAGAAGGACAAAAAGTTGGAACATTTGAGAGATTTATTTCTGGTTCCATGGCCGGAGCAACTGCACAGACTTTTATATATCCAATGGAGGTGAGTACCATTGTGAAATCTGACTGTGTGATGTTGTTTGTGTTGGTTGTCTATTGCTGTGTAACAAGTTATCCCGAAATTCACAGTTTAAGACAAGCATTTATCATTGGGCAGTTTCTATGGGTCAGGAATCTGGGAGAAGCTTAGCTGGATGTCTCTGGCTCAGGATTTTTCACAGCCCACAGTCAAGGTGGCAGTCAGTGCTGCAGTCACTCCGAGGCTTTGAGTGGGGAAGGATTTCAAGCTCACTCATGTGGTTACTGCCAGGTCTCACTGGGTATTGGCTGGAAACATCATTTCCTTAGCACATGAGTCTTTCTGTAGGCTGCCTGAGTAACCTCAAAACATAGTAGCTGGCTTCCCTATAGTTACTGCTCCAACAGAAAGAGAGAGAGAGTACCCAAGACGAAAGCTGATCTATTTTGCCTTTTCTGCTGTATTCCACTGGTCACATAGACCAACCCTGACAGAGGATGGTAGGGGACTGCTTAATGGTGTGAATACCAGAAGACAAGTATCATTGGGGAGGCTGGATGCCACTGTGTTTGTGAGAATTGTGATTCTCATTCCTTTCCGAAGAGTTTATGTACCATAAATTTCATAATGGAATCTCAGGATTTGATTATCCTTTCATTAGTACTTAAGTTGGCAAACTGGCAAACTAGAGACCTACAGACTGTACGGCCCTTGAGTTAAGAATGGTTTTTACATTTTTAAAAAGTGGGCAACGCAGGAGAAAGCCGGAAAAGATCTAAAATCAACACCCTAACATCACAATTAAAAGAACTAGAGAAGCAACAGCAAACAAATTCAAAAGCTAGCAGAAGACAAGACATAACTAAGATCAGAGAAGAACTGAAGGAGATAGAGACACGAAAAAGCCTTCAAAAAATCAATGAACCCAGGAGCTGGTTTTTTGAAAAGATTAACAAAATAGCTAGACTGCTAGCCAGATTAATAAAAAAGAAAAGAGAGAATAATAAAATAGACACAATAAAGAATGCCACAGAAATACGAACTACCATCAGATAATACTATGAATACCTCGACACAAACTAGAAAATCTAGAAGAGGCGGAGTCAAGATGGCCGAATAGACACAAATCCGGTACACAACACCCAGTGAGAGAGACACAGAAATCGAGAGATCTCCTAGCTCCAACTGAGGTACCTGGTGCATTTTAATGGGTCTGGTCGGATGGTGAGCAAAGCCCAGGCAGGGCAGACTGAGGCAGGGAGGGGTGCTGCTTCACCCAGAAAGTGCATCTGACTGGTGAGTCAGAGGCTTTCTCTCTGGCACTGTGGTCCAGTTACAGCACTTACCCCAAAGCCTCAGCAATACACAGAATAGGGGATCTTTGCCAGTCAAGCGCTGGGAATTACAAGCGCAGAGTGGAATAATAATCCAGGACGGTGTCCCTGATTGGTGCACAGATCTAAGCAAATGCATAAGCCCATAAGCCGGCCAGGGGAGCCTGCAGACTGAGCTATTGCTCCCTCTCCCTGCCTGGAGAGAGCGGGAGTTGAAAGCCAGAAGACAGACGGTGGGACTGGGTGGGACTGGGTGGGTCCCTACCCACCCCGACAAACCCCAGAGGGCTGAAGCACTAACACTAGCAGGTTACACAGCCAGTGCCTCAGTCTGACCTGAACCCTGAATGATCCAGCCCTGTGGAGGAAAGACACAACCCACCATTGGCCATACTGCCCAAAGTAACTTATAGATTCAGTGCTATCCTTATCAAGCTACCATTGACTTTCTTCACAGAATTAGAAAAAACTACTTTAAATTTCATATGGAACCAAAAAAGAACCCACATGGCCAAGACAATCCTAAGCAAAAAGATCAAAGCTGGAGGCATCATGCTACCTGACTGCAAACTATACTACAAGGCTATGGTAACCAAAACAGCATGGTACTGGTACCAAAACAGAGATATAGACCAGTGGAACAGAACAGAGGCCTCAGAAATAACACCACACATCCACAATCATCTGATCTTTGACAAACCTGACAAAAACAAGCAATGGGGAAAGGATTCCCTATTTAATAAATTGTGTTGGGAAAACTGAATAACCATATGCAGAAGACTGAAACTGGACCCCTTCCTTACACCTTATACAAAAATTAACTCGAGATGAATTAAAGACTTACATATAAGACCTAAAACCATAAAAACCCTAGAAGAATACCTAGACATTACCATTCAGGACATGGGTGTGGCCAAAAACTTCATGACTAAAACACCAAAAGCAATGGCAACAAAAGCCAAAATTGACAATTGAGTTCCAGTTGAACTAAAGAGCTTCTGCACAGCAAAAGAAACTACCTTCAGAGTGAACAGGCAAGCTACAGGACGGGAGAAAAATTTTGCAATCTATTCATCTGACAAAGGGCTAATATCCAGAATCTATAAGAAACTTACACAAATTTTTTAAAAAAAACAGCCCCTCAAAAAGTGGGCAAAGGATAGGAACAGAAACTCCTAAAAAGAAGACATTTATGCAACTAACAAACATATGAAAAAGAGCTCATCGTCACTGGTCATTAGAGAAATGCAAATCACAACCAAGATGAGATACCATCTCACGCCAGTTAGAATGGTGACCATTAAAAAGAAAACAACAGATGCTGGAGAGGATGTGAAGAAATAGGAATGTTTTTACACTGTTGGTGGGAGCGTAAATTAGTTTAATCATTGTGGAAGACAGTGTGGAGATTCCTCAAGGATCCAGAACCAGAAATACTATTTGACACATTACAGGGCATATACCCAAAGGATTATAAATCATTCTGCTACAAAGACATATATACATGTGTGTTTATTGCAGCACTATTTACAATAGCAAAGAATTGGAACCAGTGCAAATGCCCAACAGTGACAGACTGGTTAAAGAAAATGTGGCACGTATACACCACGGAATACTATGCAGCCATAAAAAAGGATGAGTTCATGTCCTTTTTGGGACATGGATGAAGCTGGAAGCCATCATTCTCAGCAAACTAACACAGGAACAGAAAACCAAACACCACATGTTCTCACTCATAAGTGGGAGTTGAACAATGAGAACATGGTCAAGGGGCGGGGAGCATCACACACTGGGGCCTGTCGGGTGGTGGAGGTCAAGGAGAGGGATAGCATTAGGAGAAATAATGTAGATGACAGGTTGATTGGTGCAGCAAACCACCGTGGCACGTGTATACATATGCAACAAGCCTGCACATTCTGCACATGTATCCCAGAACTTGAAGTATAATAATAAAAAAAGTGGGCAAAAAGAAAAGGAAAATATACAACAAAGACCTAATATTTTAGGCTTGCAAAGGCAAATATTTTATTATTTGCTCTTTACAGAAAAAGTTTTCTAACCACTGCTTTACAGCAAAAATAGTATTGTAGATGTAGAATTTATTGATATAGAAGAGGTTTTTTTAGTAACTGATAAGACTTAAGCAAGATAAATACAACTTTCACCAATGTGTGGTATGCATGCTAATATAGCTTTCTTTGCAAGCATCTTAATATGATTGCTTATAGTACTCCACACACCTCTCAAAAAAAAAAAAACCTCTTAATACCTATTCTTCCTTTTATATCCTCCGTATCAGTTAATAGTATCACCTTCCCAACTCTCCACTGCCCCATTTCCCTCACCTTCCAGACACAAGTGGTCACCAGTCATTTTTGTTAAGACATCAGTAGATTATCTTGCCTCCATTTTCTGGGTCACTTTCTTCATCAGATACTCCTTGCAGTAAACGGGTATCTGGCTATGGTCCTAGCCCCTCAATAGAGGTAATACGTGAGGGAGAATGTATCAACAAATTGTACAGTCAGTTGAGTGATGATATGTGCTAGGTATATGTTCTGTGTAAAATTACTTCATTTGAATTCCGTGATGATAGAGTTAATATGAATAATAATATTTTGTTATTTTATATCCAGGTTATGAAAACCAGGCTGGCTGTAGGCAAAACTGGGCAATACTCTGGAATATATGATTGTGCCAAGAAGATTTTGAAACATGAAGGCTTGGGAGCTTTTTACAAAGGTTATGTTCCCAATTTATTAGGTATCATACCTTATGCAGGCATAGATCTTGCTGTGTATGAGGTGAGTTCATAGCAGCCTTTTGAATCTGAAAATGCAGTTAAATAGCTCCTGTTAGAATTTGACTTTATGTGATGAAGTAGGTATACACCAAAAAACAGTTTGTGACCAGAAGTAAATTCAACGTGTTATTTGAATCTTTTCAAGTAACTGCAGTGTGAATATGCATCGGGTCACTTTTGTATTGGATTTCCTTGGGAATTGCTTTTGTTAATGAAGAGTAAACTCAAGGTTAGGTATAGTTATTTACCTTAAAAGGTGATTCTAGTGACTGTTTTCAGGGAAGACACAAGAAGCAAATAAGTTTCTTCGTTCTGGATTTGCAAAAACCAAGTAAGTAATGTGACTGACGTGAGCAATACAGTTAGTTACTCGTGTGAGTCATACAAGGAATAAAAGAACACAAATCTTGGATCAACCCTGCCATCTAAATCATTTAATAATTTATGAATCTTACAAACATGTGTTGAGCACACACTATGCAAACCAGTGGGTGAGACACTAGATCTAGGGATTCAAAGGACTCAGTGTGTGCCTTGAAGAAACTGAAGGTCTGGTGGGGGAGACAGACAAACAACTAAAAGCCAGTGTGGTTAGCTAGGCTGCCGTGGACATGAGCCAGGGCGCATGCTAGGATCGGACCCAAGCTGTGGCATCCAGGAAGCGGGGAATGTGTAATGAAAAGAAGACTTGACTTTTTGTTGAGGAGCTTTATTGAGATTTAGTTCATATTCCCTACATTTCACTCATTTGAAATGTATAAGCAAATGGTTCTTGGCTTCTTACATAATTTTTAAAATTATGATAAAATATAAAATTTGCCATTTTACTCACTTTTAAGTGTACAGTTCAGTGGCATTAATTATATTCTCAATATTGTGCAGCCCTCAACACTATTTCCAAATCCTTTTCCTCACTCCAAACAGAAACACCTTAACCTTTAAGCAACAATTTCCTAGCCTCCCTAACTCAAACCCTTGGTGACGTCTAATCTGCTTTGTGTCTCTAGGAATTTACCCATTCGAGGTATCTTATAAGTAGAAACATACAGAATTTTTCCTTTTGTGTCTGATTTGTTTCTCTTAGCACAATGTCTTTAAGGCTGGTTCATGTTGTAGCATGTATCAGAACTTCATTTCTTTTAATGGCTGAATCATATCCCATTGTATTTATACACTGTATTTTGTTTAGTCCTTCATCTGTTGAAGAACATTTGGATTGTTTCTACTTTTTGAATGTTGTGAATAATGCTACAGTGAACATTGGCATCTACATATCTGTTCAAGTCTACACCTTCAATTCCTTTGGGTATTTACCTCAGAATGGAATTGCTGAGCCATGTAGTCACTCTGGGTTTAGCTTTTAGGAACTATCAGACTGTTTTCCTTAGTGGCTGCACCATTTTACATTCTCATCAGCAACATACAAAGGTTCCAGTTTTTCCCTGTCCTTACTAACACTTAATTTCCTTTTTAAAAAAACTTATTTTTATTATAGCTATCCTCTTAGGTGTGAAGTGGTATCATGGTTTAGGACTTTACTTCTTGTGCTGAATTTTTTAAAAATTATGATTAAAAACACATAACAAAGTTTATGATTTTAACTATTTAAAAATATATAGTACAGTAGTGTTAACTGTTTGTGGTTTGTTGTGCAACAGATCTCTAGAACTTTTTTACCTTGCAAAACTTAAACTCATTAAACAACAGCTCCCAATTTCCCCTTCATCCCAGCACTGTGTAACCTACTTTCTCTATTATAAGTTTGACTACATTAAATAGCCCATATAAGTGAAATTGTGTGGTATTTCTGTTTCTGTGACTGGCTTATTTCACGTAACATAATTTCCTCAAGATTCATCCATGTGATAGCATGTGACAGGATTTTTTTTCGTTTTTAAGGCTGAATAATATTTCATTGGGTGTATATATATCACGTTTTCTTTATTCTTCTGTTGATGGACATTTAGTTGTTTTGATATCATGGCTATTGTGAATAGTGCTGCAGTGAACACGGTTATGCAAATATCTCTTCAATATACTGTTTTCAGTTCTCTTTGACATATACTCAGAAGTGGAATTTCTAGGTCAGATGGTAATTCTATTTTTACGTTTTTGAGAACCTCCTTGTCATTTTTCATGGTGAATAGACTTTCTTTTTTTTAACATTCCTATCAACGTACACCAAGATTCCGATTTCTCCACGTCCTCTCCAACGCTGTTGAATGGGGCAGTGAAGTCTCCTAGTATTACTGTGTTGCTGTTTTTTCTCCCTTCAATTCTGTTAATGTTTGCTTCATATATTTAAGAGCTTAATATTAGGGCCACGCATAGTTATAATTATTATGTCTTACTGGTAAAGTGACCTTTTTATCATTATATAATATCTATCTTTGTCTCCTGTGACAGTGTGTGTCTTAAAATCTATTTTTTTTCTGATATAAGTGTGGCCACCACTGTTTTCTTTGGGTTCCTGTTTTTATGAAATATCTTTTTGCATCCTTTCACTTTCAGCTTATTCGTGTCCTTAGATCCAAAGTGAGTCTCGTAGATAAGGGATAATGGATTCTGTATGTGTTATTCACTCAGCAATTTGTATTTTTTAATTGGAGGATTGAATCCATTTACATTGAAAGCCATTACTGACAAGGAAGGCGTTACTGTTGTCATTTGGCTAGCTGCCTTTCAGTTTCGTCCTGGGGCTTTTTTGTCTTTCCTTTTCTTCCTGGATTCTAATTTTTTTTTTTTTTTGTAGTGACATGTTTTGATTCCCTTTTCATTTCCATTTGTGTGCATTCTATAGATGCTATCTTTGTGGTTACCACTGTAACTACATAAAACATACCAAAGTTAGAGCCATCTGTTTTAAACTGTTTACAACTTAACTTCAGTGGCATATAAAACTCTGTTCCTTTACGTCTTTCACCTCCCTACCAACTTTATGTCTTTTGACATTGCATATCCTTAACATAGATTTATAGTTACTTTTTATGCTTCTCTTCTTTAAATTCTGTTTAACTATTGTTTTTGGAATTTAGATTTTGAAGTTGTTTATATACCTTCATTACAATACTATAGAATTTTATAATATTCTAAATATTGACCTTTACCATGGAGCTTCCTGTTTTCATATGGTTTTGTGTTGCTATTTATCAACCTTTTGTTTCTCCTTTTAGCCTTTCTTGTAGGGCCGGTCCAGTGGTGACAAACCACATCAGCTTTTGTTTGTCGGGGACAGTCTTAATTTCTCCTTTGTTTCTGAAGGGCAGTTTAGCCCACACAGTATTTTTGTTTGGCGGTTTTTTTGAATTTCAAAACATGGAATATAATATTCCACTTCCTTCTAACCTGCAAGATTTTCATTGAGAAATGCACTTAATGGATTTTTTAATACATTGAGATAATTTTTTAATTCTATCCTGTAGGATTGAAAATTTTTAGTCTTTGTTTCTTTTTTTTTTTTTTTTTTTTGAGGTGGAATCTTTGTTGCTCAGGCTGGAGTGCAGTGGCTCAATCTTGGCTCACTGCAATCTCTGCCTCCTGGGTTCAAGCAATTCTTCTGCCTCAGCTTCCCAAGTAGCTGGAATTGCAGGTGCACACCACCATGCCTGGCTAAATTTTTGTGTTTTAATAGAGACAGGGTTTCACCGTGTTGCCCAGGCTGGTCATGAACTCCTGAGCTCAGGCAGTCTGCCCGCCTTTGCCTCCCAAAGTCCTGGGATTACTAGTCATGTAACGTATTAACATGTATTTTATACTTAAAATATCTTACGTTTAAAAGTTGATTATCATATATATTTTATACAGGGATCTAGAGTAATAGGGAATAAAGCATGGCCTTTTGATCAGCATGCCTGATTCTGAGTCCTTCTTAAAAAACTCTGCTGAGACGAAGTTTCCTCATTTCTAAAACCAGAATAATAGATTTATGTCAGCGTTTTTGTAAGACCCAAATGAAATGTATGTAAAATGTAAAATGAGATACAGTTAGTAGAATTATTTCATTAATGCTCACCATGAGAGGTGTTCATGGTGTTAGATCCTGTGGCATTTGGTGTGCAGTTCACGTTTGTTTAGAAGAACGTGAGTAACTGGTGCAAACTTCATGTGTTCTGCTTCCTCAGTGGCCTCCTGCGTCTCCACTGAGCCACTGCTTCCTACAGTGCCTGTTGCTTCTGTGAACCTGCAGCCCCATCCTGCAGAAATGGAGCTTCTCATGAGGTTGAGAATAGCTGTGACAGTGTTTACATTGAGTGAAGTTGTAGAGTTCATTGTTTATTATTTTTCTTCTTTATTTATCTGGCAGCTCTTGAAGTCCTATTGGCTGGATAATTTTGCAAAAGACTCTGTAAACCCTGGAGTCATGGTGTTGCTGGGATGTGGTGCCTTATCCAGCACCTGTGGTCAGCTGGCCAGCTACCCACTGGCTTTGGTGAGAACTCGCATGCAGGCTCAAGGTGAGTTTTTGATGACAGAACCACACCAGTGAAAGTGCTGCGCCGGTACCGTATGTTCAGAACTCCAAGTTCTACTAAGATGGTATCGCTCAACCTTTTTTCATTATTGCATTCTTAAGGAATCTTTTCAGAAATTCTTTTTCTAAATGCTCCCTCATCATGAAATTTTAATGTGACAGAAGCATTGCATATATACTGTATACATACATAGGCCTTACACATGAACAGAGTAAGCCTTTTTTTTTTTGACTGTGTTACATGCACATTTTAAGAGATCGAGACCATCCTAGTCAACATGGTGAAACCCCGTCTCTACTAAAAATACAAAAAATTAACTGGGCATGGTGGCGCGTGCCTGTAATCCCAGCTACTCAGGAGGCTGAGGCAGGAGAATTGCCTGAACCCAGGAGGCGGAGGTTGCGGTGAGCCGAGATCGCGCCATTGCACTCCAGCCTGGGTAACAAGAGCGAAACTCCGTCTCAAAAAAAAAAGAGCATAAGCTTTGGTATCTGATGGATTTGGGTTCAGATCCTTGACTCAGACTTCTCGTGGTTTTTAATGGGAATGAAAATTGTGCAGCGTTGTAAGAATTACCAACAATATAAATAAAGCATCTGGCGTTTGTTAGATTCTTGGTAAATAGTGGCTGGAATCATTTTTTAGTGTTGCTTGGATTCTACGAGTTTTGAGCTGCGATTCCTCCTCACTGTGACTCTGTCTCCACTGTTGGCTTTGATCACACTGCACATCTATGTCCTGGTTGTTCTGCAGCCTATTGATAACTTTTACCATTTGCTGCCTTTTATTGCTGTGCCCACTCTACTAAAGTATGAATTCTAGTGCCTTTATTTTCTCTCTCCGCTTTCCCTGGTCAGTCTCATCCACTGTTGTTTTTTTAAATAGCACATCTTGGTCGTCTACAGCTCCATCCCCAGCCTCCCCAGGGCCACCCACAGCTCCCCCAACCAAGCAGTCATCATTAATTGGTGAATACTCCCTGAGCCATTGTCCCATTCTAGTCACTGCCAGATGCTGGGGGTAGAGCAGTCAGCAAGTCAGATGTGGCCCTGCCAGTGCAGAGAAGAGAAGACGTATCACCAGCCAGTAAACAACCTGGTTAAACCAACTCCCTATGTTAGGGGAGCACAGAGCGAGGGGCTGTAACCTGACTTGGGAGCTGCAGCATGTTGTCCCTGAAGCTGAGACTGGAAAGATGAATGGGAGTTAGCTGGGCACAGGACAGTGGAGCAGGAAAAGAAACCCTTCCAGCTGAGGGAAGACATTTGTGAAGACTCTGAGGTAGGCACCAAGGTGGAGTATTTGAGGAGCTAAGGGGCAGTCATGGCTGCAGAGGAAAACAAGGTAGTGAACTACATGTTTCTTGTGTATGCTCTCATTTCACCATCGTAACCATCTTGGGGCTGGGAATACTAATATTGTCCCCATTTTTAGGATGAGTAATGGGGCAGAGAGAGATTAACTCCCGCAAGATTATACCTGTGGTTAAATAGTGGGACTGTAATTCAGGTGCATGCAGTCTAAGTCCAACCCTCCTGTCTGCCAGCTGTGATCCAGACCTTTACATGACTGAAAGATTGTCATTTCTGATCTCAAAGTCTGATCATTTTACATCTGTTCAGACATCTTTGCAAACCTTTGGTGTCTTCAACGTAAATTCCAAAGTTCTTAGTGGGAATTTCAAAGCCTTGAATAATCTGGCCCCACTTTATTCACTCTCTGTGTCACAACCAGATACAACAATCAGCTGTGTCTCTGCAGCACATGGTGCTCCTCCCTTGTCTTGGTTGTGCCAGCGACACTGGATTTTGCTTCCTCTTCTTGCTTGTTGAGGTGATTTCCAAGGCCCGGGTCCCTATGCTTTTCCAAAGCTTCCCAGAGCTTCTTCCATACTCCCCTTACTTCCCAAGATTTAACTGTCAGTGCGTGGTGAGTAAGAAGGAGGCAGCAGCATTATACCAGCTTCAGAGGCAGGCAGACCATTGGATCTCAGCCCTAACATTTTCTGCTTAGGTTTTTTAGTACAAATTTCCCCATCTTTCTAAGCCTCCAATTGCTCACTTATAAAATTGATATAATATTTACCTTGCAGGAGTGGCACGGAAGGTAATTAACCCAGTATTTAGAACATAGCAATTAATATGTAACTGTAGTTACTATCATTATTATAGTTAGGACACTCACTGTTAGGTGCTGTATAAAGAGAATCGTAAAAGGGTATTTTCTTGGGCTCCTTGGAATACATTTTATTCTCTTATTGTATTCTAGAATATCATTCTGAAACATAATTGTTTATTGTAATAATAATGAAATATGCTTGAATATTAAATTAGCCTGGCCTCTTTTTTTATTTTTTAGCCATGTTAGAAGGTTCCCCACAGCTGAACATGGTGGGCCTCTTTCGACGAATCATTTCCAAAGAAGGAATACCAGGACTTTACAGAGGCATCACCCCAAACTTCATGAAGGTGCTCCCTGCTGTAGGCATCAGTTATGTGGTTTACGAAAATATGAAGCAAACTTTAGGAGTAACCCAGAAATGATGCTGCATTTTTTTTTTAGCTCTAGCATGATAATTGAAACTTTCAACAATCCCTAGAGTGACTTTTTCTCCTCGAATCGAAACAAGTCTATGGCCAAAGAAACTGTATTTCTTTCGCAAAAGGGAAGATGATAACAATGCAACTTTCGGCTCAATTATATGTACATAGAAATGTTAAAAATCATAGTTTTAATACGTTTTGAAAAGGCCACACAATTATACTTTGTCTGTTCTTAATAGTCCTTCTGCAAATCTCTGCCCTGAATCCGAAATCTGAAAATGTACTTGCTTAAACAAAATTTGTTTTGTGTGGTTAAGTTACAAATCATTAATCTTTATTTTGGGTGGTTCACGTTTATGCCAGTTCCTTTATATTTAAATGTCTTGTATATCTTTATAGATTTCTTTAAATTTCCTTGTCGAACCATTAATAGAAAATCATTACATTTAAAATACACCTTCCAGCAAAAGCATCCAAATAACTGTAGGGTTTATGTCCTTATTTTTCTTTCAGCTGAATAGGAATGAACACTGGTAGAATTTCTAAAGAGAAGTGATGAAATTATCTCTTTACTTCAGTGGGCACTTTTCTATTTTACATGTACCATTATTTGGTTCCTGGAGTTACACACTAATTTTCAATATATTACTGTTAAGTTGTTAACACAAGACAACTTAATTGAAAGATTCCTTTCTGCCATTGCTTTGAAAAGCAGCAGGAAACCAAATCCTTTGACTGCTAACGGCTTCTGAAGAGCATCTTTCTTCCTTTGTCTTTTGTTTCCTACTTTTTAAATCAGATTCCATTTTAATCAGGAAGACTTCTTGGGATCATTCTTAGTAACCTGAAATTTCTTCTTAAATTACATGAAGTGGGTTGATCATGAGTGAATGACGTGCTTATTTCTCCCTCGTTGTTGAATGTCTTTGAACCTGCTGTTCTCAATTTGGATAGCATACAGGTGAGAGATACGTACTAGTAGTATGTATTACTCATATACATTAGATACCTACATTTAAATGAAAGGCCCAATTTGTAAACATATACATTCATATTCTCTCCTGCTCCAAGTTTTAGGAACATGTTATGATATAGGAGACTGACTTTATAATAATGATAGCATTTTAAAATTTTTCTAAAGCCATTTTTGTAGTCAACTATCTTTTCTTATTTGTGTGATTAGAACTTAGAAAAATATTTACTAATTGTCACTTTTTAATTTAGTTCTTAAACTCATTTGACTTCAATAATTTCTGTTATAAATTGCCAGCATTTTAATGAAAATCTAATGACATAATAGGCATTTTTTGAACCTACCTCTTTTATTTTCTGAACCAAAGAGAAAGATGAACTAGTGTTTGTGAAGCATTTTCAAAAATGTAGTTTCTTTTATATTAGTTGTGTTTGATAAATGTCTCAGTATTTTTATAATATGATAAGCCTGGGATTCTATCTTAAGGGTTGTTTGTACTTCTGAATAATATATAAAATGACAATATTAAGGTACATGATCAGCTCTTTCTATTTTTATTCATAAAAATTATGGAAACGAATAATTTTGCTAACATTTTTGAAATTCCAAACTTCTGGAAAATATGAAAGTATTCATTGTTCATTATGAATTTAAATTGTTCCCTATTTAACATTTGTAAGGCATGAATGTGATTTGTCTGTACATCTTGTATCTTTTCCAAAAAATGATTCTGTATCTTTTGGAAAAAAAGCTGAGAGTTGAAGATAGTGTATATCTGGCATTACTGAATATTTACTTTTAATTTCTATCAAAAATATATATTGGTTTTTAAAGGAAAATGACTTGTTTTTCAACTTTTATTTTTTTAGAGAAAATTTTTAAGACTCAGTTTCCTAATTGTAAAAAATATATGAATAAAGCAAACATTGCGTCCCACAGCTTAGATAGCTTAGACCTTTGGCACCAGTTTGATGATGCTTTTTATGTTTGGCTCCATGTAGTCTTTCCAAATATTTTGGCCCTTCCTGAGCATCCTTAGCAGATATTGTTTGTATGATGCATTTTTGGCACAATAGGATATTTTTTATGATATCAGAATTCCACATTTACCAATTAGAGTTACAGCCCTGGGGTTCACAGTGCCAAGGGGGACCCAGAGCTGCAGGATTGGCCTGGCTCATCTTGCCATGGCATATAAGTTTGTCTTGAAATTGTAGGGAAAAAAAACTCTGAGTTCCCTGGTAAGTAATTTTTAAAAATTTTACAATATAGTTTACAAATGCAACATTTGATTTAAAAAATGAAACGTAAGACTGCAGAGAAATCCTGCATTTCAACTCCAGTACTTCCCAGACTTCAGAAATAACTTATCAATTGTTTCAGTAAGCTTCTCATTTACCTGGGTATCCAAAGGTAAGATGGCTGTAGCAGACATTGGCAGTTCCCTGCCCACACACCTGTCCCTGACTACAACTGCACAAGGCAGCTCTGTGCAATTGCCAGCATCTGCTCCTCTGTTCGCAGGGACCCTTCGTAAGAAAAATGCTGCCGGACTTGTTTCTTGCCTATTAGTCTTATCTCCTGGTCAAGAGAGTAAATTCATACAAACAGATTGTATTCTACAGTGTTTTGTCTTTGAGCTTGACATTAGCTGGCATCTGTAAAAGCGTGACATGGCTTCCTCATTCCCTAATAGAAACTTTGCCAGCCCTTTTGTTCTCATGGAACTTCCTTGTTTGAGAAGAGCACCAAAGGAGTAATAATATTGTGGGGGGAGCACAGTAATGATATGTGGGTCCCCCTTGGCACTGTGAACCCCAGGGCTGTAACTCTTAATTGGTAAATGTGGAATTCTGATATCATAAAAAATATCATATTGTGCCAAAAATGCATGATACAAACAGTATCTACTAAGGATGCTCAGGAAGGGCCAAAATATTTGGAAAGACTACAGTATATCTCCCTTGGCATATCCCCTCATTAGGAGACATGTGGAGTGGTCTGAAGTCATTCAGCCTACTCTCTGGGAGAGCACATCCTATAATGTTCTCTCAGCCCAGCCCCTTCCACTGCTCAGGTCCAAGCTGCCCAACTCAGACCACTGCTGCTCTCTGACCACAGTATAAACAAAGATGATTGTCAGTGGGCGTCAAAGTCCTATACTGAGGCACTCAGCCACAGCCACTAACCCCAGGCCACTTCAGCATTTATTCTACCAGCATTCACTCACGCATTTGTTCTTGCAATGAGCATTTGTTAGGCACCTGTTATGGCTTGGCTTTGTCCCCACCCAAATCTCATCTTAAATTGTAACTCCCACAATTCCCACATATTGTTGGGGGAAGTGGTGGGAGGTGATTGCATTACAGGAGTGGGTCTTTCCTGAATTGTTTTCATGATAGTGAATGACTCTCATGAGATCTGATGGTTTTAAAAATGGGAGATTCCCTGCACAAGCTCTCTCTCTGTCTGCTGCCATCCATGTAAGACAACACTTGCTCCTCCTTGCCTTCTGCCATGATTGTGAGGCTTCCCCAGCCACATGGAAATGTAAGTCCAATTAAACCTTTTTCTTTTGTAAATTGCTCAGTCTTGGATATGTCTTTGTCAACAACATGAAAATGGACTAATGCAGTAAATTGGTACCAGTAGAGTGGGGCATTGCTGAAAAGATACCTGAAAATGGAAAAGTGACTTTGGAACTGGGAAACAGGCAGAGGTGGGAACAGATTGGAGGGCTCACAAGAAGACAGGAAAATATGGGAAAGTTTGGAACTTCCTAGAGACTTGTTGAATGGCTTTGCCCAAAATGCTGATAGTGATATGGGCAATAAAATCCAGGCGGAGGTGGTTTAGGATGGAGATGAGGAACTTTTTAGGAACTGGAGCAAAGGTGACTCTTGTTACATTTTAGCAAAGAGACTGGGGGCATTTTGCCTCAGCCCTAGAGATTTGTGAATCTTTGAACTTGAGACAGATGATTTAGGGTATCTAGCAGAAAAAATTTCTAAGCAGCAAAGCCTTCAAGAGGTGAATTGGGTGTTATTAAAGGCATTCAGTTTTATAAGGGAAGCAGAGCATAAACGTTTCGAAAATTTACAGCCTGTCTCTGTGACAGAAAAGACAAATTCATTTTCTGGGGAGAAATTCGAGCTGGTTGTAGAACTTTGCATAAGTAGCAAGGAGCCATTAATGTTAATCCCCAAAACCGTGGGGGAAATGTCTCCAGCTCATGTCAGAGACTTTCATAGCAGCCACTCCATCACAGGCCTGGAGGCCCAGGAGGAAAAAGTGATTTCATGGGCCAGGCCCAGGGTCCTAATGCTGTGAGCAGCCTAGGGACTTAGTGCCCTGTGTCCCAGCCATGGCTGTAAAGGGTCAATGTACATTTTAGGCTTCAGAGGGTGGAATTTCAACCCTTGGCACCTTCCCTGTGGTGTTGAGCCTGTGGGTGCAAAGAAGTCAAGAATTGAGATTTGGGAACCTTCACCTTGATTTCAAAAGATGTATGGAAATACCTGGGTGCCCAGCCAAGAGTTTGCTGCAGGGGTGAGGCCCTCATGGAAAACCTCTGCTAAGGCAGTGCAAAAGGGAAATGTGGGGTTGAAGCCCTCACACAGAGTCCCTACTGGGGCACTGCCCAGTGGAGCTGTGAAAAGAGGGCCACCATCCTCCAGACTCCAGAATGGTAGATCCACAGACAGCTTGCACCATGTGCCTGGAAAAGCTGCAGACACTCAACACCAGCCCTTGAAAGCAGCTGGGAGGAAGGCTCTACCCTGCAAAGCCCACAGGGGCAGAGCTGCCCAAGATCAAGGGAACCCACCTCTTGGATCAGTGTGACCTGAATGTGAGACATGGAGTCAAATGAGATCATTTTAGAACTTCTAAATTTGACTGCCCTGCTGGATTTCAGACTTGTATGGGCCCTTTGTTTTGGCCAGTTTCTCCCATGTGGAACACCTGTATTTACCCAGGACCTGTACCCCCACTGTGTCAATGCTTTTGATTTGAGAGGCTCATGGGTGGAAGGGACTTGCCTTGTCTCAGATGAGACTTTGGACTGTGGACTTTTGGGTTAATGATGAAAGGAGGTAAGACTTTGGGGGACTGTTGGAGGTGTGATTGGTTTTGAAATGTGAGGACATGAAATTTGGAGGGCCCAGGGTTGGAATGATATAGTTTGGCTGTTTCCCCACCCAAATCTCATCTTGAATTGTATCTCCCAGAATTCCCACATGTTGTGGGAAGGACCCATAGGGAGATAATTGAATCATAGGGGTGGGTCTTTCCTGTACTATCTCATACTAGTGAATAAGTCTCATAAGATCTGATGGGCTTGTCAGGGTTTTCAGCTTTTGAGTCTTCCTCGTTTTCTCTTGCCGCCACCATGTAAGAAGTGCCTTTCACCTTCGGCCATGATTCTGATGCCTCCTCTGCCATGTGGAACTGTAAGTCCAGTGAAACCTGCTTTTCCCTGTCTCAGGTATTTCTTTATCAGCAGCATGAAAAGGGACTAATAATACAGCACCCAGTGTGGGCTGAGGTCATAACATTGAATAAAAGACTCAGTACTTCTTATCTAATGGGGAGATACAGACACACTAAGTAAAATATGTAGTTTGTCAGATGGTGCTCAGTGCAGAAGGCAGAGCTGGGGCTGCGGCCAGGGCTGCAGTTTTACACAGATAGATAGAGAAGGCCTTACTGAGGAAGTGCTGTTTGGAGGTGGTGCAGGAATGCGCTATACTGAGTCTGGGAAGGGCATCCAGGCAGCAGAGGGAAGCAGGTGCAGTGGCCACAGGAGGGGGGACCCTGAAGGAGGCCCATGTGGCTACAGGGGAGGAAGCCCAGAGAGATAGCAATCCAGGAAGCAGAGGGGACCCTGAGGGAGCCACATCATCAGACATTTCTCCATTTCTTGCTTTCTAGTGCTGCAAGAGCAGCAGTTTCTTGAGGGTGTTCCCTAAGTAAGATTCAAATGTCTCTCCTAGGGGAATGGTAGTGTCATTGGAAATGAGGGAAAATGCCCCAGTTTCTGGGAACTGCCATGTCCATCACAGGCAGAATAGTTTTCCCTACTGCTATCTGCACACATGGGCCCATTCCCCAGGTAGCATGTCTATTGGCTTCTCTCTGCCTCTCCTTCTCCAGGGAGAATTGTAATTTTTTAAAAGAGAATTAACTTAGAAACCTTAAAATCTTTCTAGGTATTTTCCAAGAATTACAGAAGATGTTAATCTAGCAAACTAACAAGGCTACAAGTCATTTCCTTCTCTGATTATCTTGTATCTGTGCAGGATTTGTTTCTTTGTTTTTAATTTACACAAGTTTTACAATGTTGGGAACAATCCTTTTATTTGATTTTTTGTTTTGTGTTCATTGATATTGTCCTGTTTTAAACTGATTTCTACAAAGTCAAGATAACCCTAACAAACAAGTGATTTGTATTTTGTTACTCCAGAAAGAGAGGCTGGTTTGTCCAGGGCTTTAAAAGCTTTCTAAAGTACCCTTCGAACCTAAGGTTACCACAGACTTCCCGTTTTTCCCTAGTCAGTATGAGTTTACACTCATCTCATTCCACTGGTTCTACCACCAGGATAAAGTGGCCTGAATCACAGCACCTGTAATCAGTGCCTTCTGTAGCTGTGCATCACCCAACCAGTCTTTGCCATATGGCAGGGGGTCACCACATCAATCTTAGTGCAGCATATGGGATGGTAAAAAAAAAAAAAGTGTGGTATTTCCTTATTTTATTTAAATCAAGTTAAGTCCAGCTCCTTAAGCACTCAGTGTTGTGCCAGTGATCTGGGGTGCTGGCCCCTTTGGACAC